CTCTCTCTCTCTCTCTCTCTCTCTCTCTCTCTCTCGGTGGTGGGCGGTGGGATGGGGTGGGGGGGACAGAGTTTCACTATGTTGCCTAGGCTGACCTTGAACTCACAATCCTCCTGCCTTAGCCTCTTGAGTAGCTAGGACTACAGGTGCTTGCTACCATGCCCAACTGAATATATTCTAGATGAATGAACAAAAACAGGTGCTCAGAAAATCCTAGCTGTGTAGTGGCTGACTGATATTTTTTGCCTAGAATTCTGAAATACTGGAGATTTTTCACATGAAAGAAAAATGTTGAAACTCATACCAGTATTCTCCCTTTTCCTGAATAACAAAGGTCTCTGCCCCCATTTTTTCCTTAGGAGATCCTCTATCCAGTGAGCAGAATGAGGATTCGGAAGGAAAATTCTAGGGATAGGCCATTGATAGAACACTGAGTAACTCCCGCTATGGCTGGCACCATGGCCTGCAGCTGGCCCAGAGGTACACTGCATTCAGTGCCTACTACTGGATCCACAGATCACCTCAGGCTTCAGTTCAGAACCAGGCCCAAATCCCAGAGAGCAGTCTCTGAACTGTATCATGACAAGATGGGTGAGGGAGACTCTCTCTGTGCCCCATATCCCCCACAACCCACATCCTCAGATGCATGTACACACATAGTCCAGCATTACCTGCTAAGATGAATTGCAACTTAGTGGCATCAGGTATGGCAATGCGGTCAATGTACTCAGGATCCAGGTATTTGATCAGGTCTTCAACTAGAAAGGAAGATGAAAAATAGAGCATGGTGAGGAAATAGAACTCTGTCTTATAAAGTAATTTTGGGTGTGATCATCCTTGGAGAGAGCTTTGAAAGATGAGCTGACACCTATAGTGCTGCATCAGGAGCATCTACCAAGTCCCCTATTCCTCTTCCCTGTTTCTCCACTCTTCCTACCTGCTAGCTGACCTCAGAGTCTGGAGCTGGAAACACAACTGCTGCCACCATTCATGGGTCCCTAGCACTGCCACTGATCCTTAGCAAGGGTGGAAGGTTCCTTTCTTCCTTAATGCCTAGACAAGCCAGGGCTTGTTTTGATTTCTAGTTACTGAGCAGGTTACTAGCTGTAACAGAACAAAAAAGGCTTGGTTGAACCAAGGCTGGGATTCTCAGTGCCTCATTTCTTTCCTTCTCTTAACCTCATCTAAAGAAAACTCATATACTCTTTCCCTCCTTCACCAAGGGAAGCTTTCAGTAAGAGGTCTCATCACAAAACTTAAGACCCTGGCATGGGCTTGAGATTTATTCATAAGGAAGAAAAGCACACCACAATTCACCAATTTGGCAGGGAAACATCTTCACATTTTTTCTGTCTTCAAAGAATTACTCTAGTGACCTGCTGGCTGAAGGACCAGGGTCAGGTTCCAGGAAGCACAGGGATGGAAAGTAGAGCAAGTAGGGACCCCGTGGAAGCACTTACTCTTTTTGTACAGAATCTTCACCCTCTCCCTCTTACTGGCAATGTTCCCCAAAGCCACCTGCACCTTGACCAGACCATCAGCCACCTGTAAGGGGAATGGAGGTTAATTGAAAGATATACCACCTGGCTCAAGGCTTGGAAGAAGTAAAGAACCCTCATTCTCCCAGATTCCAAAACCTCTGAGTCCCAGTAATCTAGTTTGGTCCCCTTCTTTTGAAGATGAAGCCCAGCTTCAGGGAATCCTTAATGGGAAAGGAAAAGAATCATAAATTTCTTGGGGAGTTTTAAGTCTGTTTCAGTAGACAATTAACTACTTTAGAGTTTATACAGAACCAGCATATATTACATATTCCCTGGTTCCTAAATCCTTGGGCATGAGAGATGCAAAATCTTCTCCAGGCTGTCATTATCTCATGACTGGATGACTGCACCAGCTGCTGGAGTGACTGGCCTATCTCTAGCCCCATCCTCTCCACATCAACTCTAGTGTGGAGAATGGAAGATCATAGAAGACATCTAGGATCCCAAAGATGCTGCAATCCCTGTATTAGGGCATATATAAAAGAATCAGGTCGGGGAGAGGTAGAGTACAGTTAAGAGCATATGGATTGAGTTTGAGATGTCTGTTGATTATTCAAATGGAAAAGTGTGGAAGACAAATGGATGTTAAATCAGGTTCTCAGAATAGAAATTTTAACCAGAGATACACATTTGAGACATAATGGCAAGTAAGGAGTAAATGAAACTATAGGAGTGAATTGGCCCACCTAGGATTTAAGGGTAGAAGGTGAGAAGTTTCACTATTCACTGGTTAAATAGAGGAGGCAACTATGGATGTGAATGAGCTCACCCAGGTTTTAGGGTATGAGTACAGAATGCTAATATTCTAGGGTCAAATATGTGGGTAGGCAAATAAGACTGAAAACAACAGCCAAAGAGATAGAAGAAATATCAGGCAGGCTAGAGTCATAGACGCCAAAGACAGATAATGTTTTGGGAAGTTAATTTTCAAATGGGAAAACAATCTGCTGGCGATGACCAATTCCACAAGGGTGCAAATAGCACTATTTATGATGCACTTAGTTCCAGAATATCCTGGCATGAACCAGAAGTTATTCAGTAACTGGGTTTCCAATTGTAGAAAAAAGGATTAGAGGGCAACTGGCTCTCACACTTGTCAAAATTTAATCACTGGTGTGGAGTGCCCACCAGCATCTGAACACCCAGTACCCAAACCCTGACACTCCTATTCTTGGCCTTCTCAGACCTCCACCTCTCACCCCTTATCCACCTCTGCTGGGCCTCCTTTGGCGACCCATGGACCTCTACCTGAACAATTCATTTAGCATCTAACTACGGAGGGCTCCGGGACGGCACTTCCATTGTGGACTTCAACTCCTATTGAAACTCTCATTAGCTTCTCGAGGGTGTCAGGTCTCCCCAACTAGCCTGCAAGGACAGTGGCCGAGTCTTAATTACACTTGTCACTGAGCCCATCTCAAAAAGACCTAATTATCCTCAGAGCCCACCATGGGAATGAACCCTGAGGGTACGATAGGCTTCAGAATGTCCCGGACCTTTGTTATTTCAAAGGCTGGACTGTGGACCACAGGACTGGAGTCGTTGCATCCATCCAGAGTGCCGGACCAGTGGACTGCTCTTGCCCTGCCGCAGAAACGGACCACCGGACTTGAGCTCTCACCTTCCGCGTGCCGCGCGCTCCGCTTGGCCCGTACACCCAGCGCTCCAGCTCCTCTACTCGGGCCTGTAGCCGCTGCACGTCCGTCAGAGCCGCCATCGCCACTACCGCCCCACCTCAGCAGCGGAAGACTCAGAGGGTGGGACGTCCGCCCAAGGAGGAAGGCTGGCCAATCCGAGTGCACGGATGATCCTGTGTGCAGGAAGTGACGCCTTAATCCAGCCATTCAATGCCCGAAGTGACCAGACGGGCAGGTAAAAGATGTCAAAAGCTGTCTAGTTACCTTGGTGACGCTATCTCACCGGTCTCTTCCCTGGCTTCCAGCGCCTGGTTATCAAGACTTTTCCTTTCTTCTAATTTCCTACCAAAGACTTTCCCCCACCCGTTTCCCTAAGGTTGTACGTATAAATATACCCACTGTTCCGCGATAGGTCCATTCCCATAGACAACTCAGTAGGAGGTCTCATGGACTTTTAAAGTCCATGAAACTTTTAAGATTCAAGAGACTAAGTGACTTGCCCAAGGCTGGACAGCACTGTTGTAAAAGAATCGGGATTTGAACTCGAGCAGTCTGATTCAATGCTCTTCTGTTCTCACGGAGTTTTGCTATTCTGCCTTCTCCTCAGAGCTCCCCTCCCCCATCTAATGCTGCCTGTGTACCACATCCTTCCAACCTCCCCCCCCCCCATTCAGACCAAACAAGAAGAGGAGGCACTGGAGTGGGAGGGAGCACAACTTTATTAGGAAATGTAACCTGAGGAACATCTTCAACAACACCCAATCCAACCCTTCACCTGGCTCCTGAAAGGCTATGTGCCAAAGATGGTATTGACACAAAGGACATATGACAAGATTATGGGGGTTGCTTCTGGAAGGATCCTTTGGTAGATGCTGCTGGAATTGACTAGGGAGGTGGTGCCCTCCTTTTACAATGAGGTAGATGGAACATCAAAAGAAAACCTTTTGGCATGGAGGTGGGGTGTGGTCATCTCCCAGGGCTGGGTCCCAGAGTGAGCATCCTGAAAGAATCAAGGCAGAAGGGTGCCTCCTCCCCCCTCAGCAATGGAGCTGGGACTCTTAGTTCTGAATAGGAGCTCTCAGGGCAAGGTGCTGGGAGGGTGCCCAGTAGAAGGTGGGGGTGCAGGGTTGGTTGGGCCCTGGGAAGCTGGCACAGGCTGGCGGCGAGCAAAGAGAACACCTGGCAAAGGGGTGAGGAAATGGCAAAAGCAAACACAAGCAGGAGAGGGTGGGACACAGAAACAGAAGGAAAAAAAAGTAAGTGTCCTGATTGCTAGAGTACCACACACATACCCTTGTCACAACCAATGAGGACAAGTCCCTTTGGTCGGTGAGAAACTCCTATGCCAATGCAGATACCCTCAAACAGGTAAAAAAGAAATATTGACACTAATACATAGGCAGATATCCCATGATCACCACGCCACAGAGGCCATGCCTTGGACCCCATGCCATAAACACACCCTTTAACCCATGCCAGTGTAGCAATCCCCTGAACCCCATGTTACCATGCAAGTTCAGCTATCCCTGAACCTCATGCTAGTAGAGAAAAATCTAAAACCCCCATGCTAGTCTAAATACCCCTGACTCCATGCCAGTGTAGACAACCTACAGTACCCATACCAGTGTAGACCACCCCGTTGATCTCTAGCGCCATGTTGATACTGCTGATGCCACTGCCTGCCAGATTGAGGGGCCCATCCAGCCGCTCTTCTGTCCAGGAGGGGGAGTAGTCACATTTCAGGGAATCAGATTTCAGACTTAGAAGTCCCCCATTTCTATAGATGGCCCACATTTCACTTTAGCCCCCATACCTGTAATCACACTTGTCTATACAGGGAATTGGCTGCCCACCTTCATTACCTATCAGATCATGGGTCTATCTTCCCTCAGTGCATAGGACTGAAGACCCCTCATCAACAAGCCATTCCTCACCCCTCAAGGGAACTTTGCTGCGGGGCAGGAAACTGGGGGGTGCACTGGGTCGAGGTGGGTCCATAGGGCTCATTAGCACAGCCCTCTTCTCTGGAGGCTCCTCTGTTGCCAACTTCTCCCGTGCTGGTCCCAAGGCAAGGCCCACAGGTAGTTGCAGATGAGAGGTTGGAATTCCACTCTCCTCTGGAAGAACAAGTCATTACCTCCTCAGGCCCAAGCAATGTGGTTCTTCCCCAAGTCTGGGACCAAGAGAGGTCATCTAAGCTCAAAGCACCAACTTCAATCTCTCTTCCCATCCAGAACTTCAGGCTAGAGGCTGGGGTGTGGTGTCAAGCCCAAAGGGCCAATATATAGGTTTGGGTTGGTTTAAGAGAATTTGGGAGACTTTCTTGTTCTTGGTTGTCAAATAATCCAAGACATAAGGAGGCAGACCACATGCAAACAGTCCTGGGTGCATAGGGGTGGAATGAAGCTGCTATGGATAAAGCTGCTATGGACCTTTTCCTGAGCTTGGTACCTGGTACACCGGGTTAAGCCTTGGATTCAAGGCTTTATTGACTCCAAACCTCAGGACTTCTATACCTTAGCAATACTCAAACTTCAGAGCCCAGTCAAGTCTTGTTGCTCCCAAATTGCAATGCCTCCCAGACCTCGGGATCCCTATTCTTTCTTTCTTTCTTTCTTAAAATATTTTTAGTTGTTGATGGACACAATACCTTTATTTTATTTATTTATTTTATGTGGTGCTGAGGATGGAACCCAGTGCCTCATACATGCAAGGCAAGTGCTCTACCACTGAACCACAACCCCAGCCCCCACTATTGATTTATTTATTTACCTATTTATTCTATTGTGGACTGAGGCGTGCTTTTCCACTAAGCTACATCCCCAGCCATTTTTATTTTTTATGTTGACCATTTATGTTGCTAAATGGTCTTGCTGCCTTTGAACTTGCAACTCGTGCCCCGCAAAATCCTTTCATTAATGTTTCCTACATCTCAGAGCACGCATAGACCTCAAAACCACCCCGCCCCCAAAGCCTCCAGGGTTCCTCTCACCTTTCTTAATAGGGCTGGGACTCAGCTGGGCGCAAGCAAGCGCTGGTAGGCCAGAGGCGGAACCCTGGGCGGGTCCAGAACCAGGGCCGGAGAGAGGCGCGGGCGGGGCTGGGCCAGGGCCAGAGGCGGGGCCGGGAGCGCCCCTAGCGGGTGGCCCTGCTAAGGTGAAGAGCGGAGCTGCGGTGTAAGCCTGGCGACGGCCCTCGCGCCGATTGCTGTCTATGGCGGCCTGGAGTTCCCCCGGGGAGCTGAGCGCCCGCGTCTCGCACTCGTACGGGTACAGGTACTTCATGTACCTAGAGGCGGATCGGGGCAGGGAAGGGAGGCTGGGCCCAGCCGGTCAAGTCCCACACCGCGCCGCCCTCCACATCCACACCCCCACCCTGCGTGCCCTTCCCTTCCAACAGCACCCCAGGCCTCACTGGGTGCGGAGAGTGAAGGCGGCTGAGGTGATGGTGGTGGGCAAACTGAGGCCCCGCGTGACCTCCCGCCACACTTTTCGGTTGATGACTTCTACCAGGCCGCCCTTAGCGGTCACCAGGCGAAACAGCGCATACAGGTCCAGCACCTGCTTCGCCATGATGGGCACACGATTCACTGGTGTCCCTGACGGGGAGTAGGCAGAGAGTCAGAACACCAAGTAGGCCCTGTCTGAGGGCATCCCTGGGGGCTGAGGGAGTTGAGTGCCTGCACTAGGCTTAGAGAGGGAAGGCAGAGGGATAGGGAGGTAGGATTACAGGCAGAGCCCCCAGATCCTCCAGGGCCTCCATCGTAGCAGGAAGGACGGGAGTCTAGACCAGGGGTCAGCAAACTTATTCTGTAAAGGGCCAGATAGTAAATATTTCAGGCTTTGCAGGCCAATAGATCTCTGTCACAACTAGTCAACTCTACAATTGTAGCCTGAAAGCAGCCTTGGAGAATACCTTCTAGAGAATGGATGCAAATGTGTTCCAATAAAACTTTATTTGCAGGCTCTGAAATTTGAGTTCCACAAGCTACAAATGTTATTCCTCTTTTAATTCTATTTTCCAAATTGGTTAAAAAAAAAAGAAAGAAAGAAAACCATTGTATCTCTAAGGTAACTGGATTTGGCCTGAAAGCTTTAGTTTGCCCGTCAATCCCCAGGGTAGACTGTAGGAAGGACTAGGGGAGAGCTGAATTCCCCTAAACATCAGCCCCCAATGGCTGCCCAAGGCGGAGGTGGAGGGGAGCGGGGGCGGAGAACCATGGCAGGTGGAAAAGAATCAGTTCCTGCCTGGGCCCCGCCAACTCTGCAGCCAGCGCCACCCCCGCCAGCCAGTCCTGACAAAAGGGCCTGTCTCCGCTGAGCGATGGGCCCCAGTTAATTCCTTACCGATCCCGTCCCCCTTCCACCGCCGCCTTTGGACCCGAACAATTAGCTGCGGCCTGATTAATGGGGGGAAATTATCGGCCCTGCGGGACCGCCCTCCCCCACTCCCCACCCCCCAACCGGGCAGCCCAGAAGAGGGAAGCAGGGACTTAAAGGGAGGCAGAGCTGGGGGTGTGGGTAGTGCTGGGATCAGCGCTGACTACCCCACCCCATTCTCAGCATAGAGAAGGCCCCAAGGAAGAGGCAGAGAGGGGACACTGGGACCAGAATAACCAATGTTCCCTGGGGAGCAAGAGGTCCTGGGACCCCACCAAGTGTCCCTGGGAAGGACAGAAAGGGATGCTGGGCCTGGATGGTGGTCCAGGGAGACTTGGACCAGCAGCTGCACTAAGGGAGGGGGGGCTGCAGTGCAGCCAGTTAATTAGCGGCTTATCAGGCTGCTCTCTGAGTGAGTTAATTAGCTTTGTAGAGAGAGATAATGACTCAGTGTTCAGTCCCATGAATCTGGGAGAAGCTGAAGTGATGGACTTCGGCCCACCCTGATCCCTTCCTGGACCCTTCTTGCATTATTTCTTCCAGCTCTGGAAAGGAATTCCTTCTCTGCCAACTTCCCATACTTACATGGTCCCCCAGCCCACCCCTTGGGAAGTCCTTCCTTCAGTCTAATCCTAGTCCTTCCTGCTACAGAGCACATGGGGAATTCCCTGACTGAAGCAGGGGAAAACTGAGAAAAGACAAGGTTGGAGGAACTGGCCCCCCACCATAAAGAATTAAGGTATTACCAACCCTCCAGTACTGGGACCCCACCCCACCCCAAGCCAGTCACCCTCAATTCCTCCTCCCACCCTCCCAATTGATTCCACACTCATTAAGCTGCCAGTGGGCTGGTGACTAATTAATCCTGGGGTGGAGAAGGGGGGCAGGGTCAGAGGTTAAAGACACTATTGAAGGCCTAAAGGACAGGTAATGCCAACCCTAGGCCCCTGCTGGGAGGACCCCACCTGGGGACTACATCCTGGTGTTTCCCTTCCTCAAACCTGGTAAATGGGGGCAATTCTAGGTCCTTCCCTGCATCACCTCACTCACCCCTCTTCTGCATGAAGCTAAACAGGTCATCCAGAAATTCCTTCCTCTTGGGATCTGCATCAAGTTCATACAACTGGGAAAGGACCAGGGTCACTCTTTAGCTCCATAGAACCCCCTCCCCTGGGACCCCAATTCAGGTTGTACCCTGAACAAGAGTCCCTAGCTGAAGGGGTAAGTTGGGCCTGAATATGGACCCCCTGGTATTAGGCCCATCCCAGGGGTAGGTAGGGGTGCCTTTTTCTAAAACATACAGATCCATCCTGGCTAATGGTGCTCTGGACATCTCAAAACACTCATAGGGAAATTATAGGGAAGAGGGGAAGCAGGAAGAAGCTCGGGCTGCTTATCCTGTCCTCGGAGAGGACATTCCCTAGGAAAGAAGCCAGGCTACGTTTGTGCTCCACTCTGAGGAAACTGCTGTGTGTCTGAGGCGTCATTCATTCTCATTCATGTGTAAGGCCCTCATGCTGTTCACATCCTTGTGTTCTGGGGTTTGTGTTGTGTAAAAGGCAGGAAGGATGCTCAGGGACTCCTGGATTGACCTTCTGGCCTGAGCTTCCAGAGGAAGCTGCCACAGAGGCACTGGCCAAGTGCCACAGGACCTGCGGGGTTAAGGGATGAGGGACCTACCAGTCATCCTTCTAATTCCTAGTCACCTAGACCCCTGTCCGAAGCATCACCTCTCAAATCTAAGAAGAGCAATTCCCAAAGTCATAGTCATTGACCCAGAATAACAGTCCCTGAGTAACACCTATAGGTAACACTCCATCCCCCAATAAGAACTTTCAGAGAAAAGATCACCCATGAGTAACAAAACCTGGAGAGTCACATGCCCACAACACAGAGCCCTAAGTCTTAGATGAAGAGCTATAAATAATATTCACACTCTCCAAGTAATAAGTCCCAGAGAAACAGTCATGAGGGCCATATCTCTGGAGTAACAGGACCCTGAATAACACATTCTTTCACTAATGCCACAGTTCTAGCCACAGATGAAGACATCTAGAAAACATTGAAGACCAACAAACACCCTGCAAGTAATGCTGCCAGAATAGCACACCTGGAGTCACAGACCTGAATAACACCTTCATAGTGACAGCCTGGACTAGTATCCTTAGAATAAAACCCAGAGGGTTTCTCAGGGAGAAAGAACCTTGAATTAAGGTCATGTGAGTAAGTCTTGTCATTCTCAGCTGCATAGGGGCCTTTTAGTCACACTGTAGCTGTAATGGCCAACACAGACTGGGAACTATCATCCATGAAGTTTAGGCCAGGTAGAACATTTGGATGGGAGAGTGGTGTGATAGGAAAGAGGAGGGGTGTACCAGCCTGCCAAGGGAGTGGCGATATCTATTCTGACTCCAAAGACAGAGGGAAATGGTACGGGACACCCCTACTGGCCCTGGTGACTTGATGTGTGAAAGGGTAGGTAGAGTGGTGCTGGTACAGGAATTCCTAAGCCCCAGAACCCTCTCCCTCAAAGCCCTCTACACCTCCCACCTTTTTTATGGACTCACTAATGGCTTCCAATTTGTCAGTCTCCGTGTTTGGGGGTGTCTTCTGCACCTCTTAGAATTGTTTTTGTGCACTTTCCACATATCTGAGTGTCTTTCCCACCCTGTCTATCCCCCAGTCTTGTCTGTCTCTGTCTCTCTCTCTCTAGGTCTCCATGTCTGCCTTTCCTTCCTTTAGAGGGCGTTGGGGATGGAGATGGCTCTGCTTTTGCCCAGAGGGAAGGAAGGGGGGAACCCTTAGAGTGAGGGAATCCTACCTGCTTGAACTGCTCCTCATAGGTCCACTCGTGGGGATGGGGTCCAGGGGGCTGGCTGGAAGGTGAGCTGGGGCCCTGGGCCCTTGGACAACTCTCATCAGTTGCCTCCTGCTCTGCTCCAGCTTCCTCCCCCTCCTCATCCTCTTCAGCATCCTCCTCTTCATCAGCCCCAATTTCCCCCAAGGCCCCCTCTGGAGCCTGCAGGGTCTGGGGACTAGGAAAGGGAGGTCGGGATGGCAGCGGTGGATGTGGAGGAACCAAGGGCCCCACCCCTTGGGCCAGACGAGCAGCCTGCTGTCTCTGCAGGACCTCCATTACAGCTTCCAGGCGCAGTCCCCCTGCTGGGGTCGGCCCTGGTACCAGGCGGGGCCCAGAGGAAAGGGCCATCTGTGGGGGAGGGAATTATGGGTGCTGGGCATTGTTGCCCTACACCCCCCAACACATGGGAGGTGGTCATGGACTCAGGGACATGCAGGGGGTCTTAAAAAAAAAAAGACAGAGCTTTCCCAGAGATGTATAGAGACAGAGAGAGAAAAAACAAGAGATACAGAGACCAGACCCAGGGAGTAAGAAATAGCCATGACTGAGGACAGGGAGAGGCTAAGCAAATCATAGAGGGTGACAAGGACCAAGGGAGATAGAGGAGAGGAGAAGAGAGATATGAGAAAGGGGGTGGGGAGATTGATTGAATGTAACAGAAATACACAGATAGAGATGGAGATGGGACAAGGAGAGACTGAAGTGGACCTGAGAGAGACCAAGATGGAGAAAGACAGAGATTAGACAGAAACATAGATGGGAAAAGATGAGATTGATAGACATTGGGTAGAATGACAGGAAGGGTAAGAGAGAGGAACAAGAAATAAAGGATGTAAGTGACAGGCAGTCCAGATAGAGACAGAGACAGAGTGAATCGAATAGAGACAGGTTGAGAGAGATAAGGAAAGACCGACGACGCAGCAGAAGACAGAAGAGAGGTAATAGAAAGAGATGGGGCGAGACACAGAGACGAAGAGACAGGCAAAAACAGACTGAAACAGGGCAGGCAAAGGACAAGAATCAAGCAGGTGCAGGAACAGAGGGCGGTGGGGGCAGTGATTGGGAGCGGGACGGGCTGGCAAGAGGTGGCGGACCGGCAAGAGCTTGCGGAGTCACTGAGCCCAGCTCTCTGGCTCCCGGCACCCGACAGCCGCACTCACCGGCCTGGCGCGGCCCGCTGCCCCGGGTGTCTCCACGGCGGTCCCTCTGCTCCGCCCGCCTCGGGGGCGGCCCCTGCTTTTGCTTGGTTCCTGGCTCAGGGTCCCCGCCGCCGTGCGCTCTTGCCGTCCTGCGCTCCTCTGGCAGTGGCGCGCTCACTCGCGGCAGATCTGCTGGCTGCGGTCGCGGGGGCGGGACCCGAGCCCCGGAAGGCGGGCGGGGATGCAGGGGGGAGAGGCCCCTGTGGGCTCTGCTTCTCTCAACCCCCCAACAGGTGTCTCCCACCTTCCTTACAGCCAGACTCCGGGGGCGGGGCGCTGGAGAGCCATGGGAAATCGGGAGCCTGAGGAGTCCACCGTCGCTGGACTCTGGACTAGGACCCCGCCCCACCTCACCAAGACACTGGACACCCATTCTCAGTGCCGGGCGTGCACACACAAACAACCGCTTTCACACACCAACACACCTTGTCATAAGTTCAGGCACGCAGCTGCTCAATTTTACAGACTGGGTTCCATCAGAGACCTGGGCTGGCTGTGATCACTAGTGAATCACTCTGCGGGATACTGGGGTGAGTGTTGAGCCTGGCCAGAACAGAAGCTTCTTCTCCTGCTCTGTCCACATGGTATCCTCAACTGCATGCGTGATGCAGTTTACACACAGGTGTGCATATGGCGATGTATCCACACCTATGTACTCCCACACTCAGAGGTCTTTGAGCTGCCTATGCACCTGCAGCAAGGTATAAGCACCACATGCAACTACACAACTACATACAGTTCTGTCTTTTAAAAAATCTCTTGACATTCTATTATATATTTCCAAAGGTGCACAGGAGAAGAATTAAGAGTATAATGAGCCCCAGGCACTCATCATTTGTTTGTTTCACAAGTGATCAGCATTTTGCCCACTTTCACACACATTCTCCACTTGTGTGTTCCTGACACCCAAATCTCTATTTCCCCTCAGTCAATTGCTTTGGTCTCACCCTACCCCAACTATCCACCAGATGCTGTTCCTTTATTGGGGTTCCTAGGTGCCAGGCCATGATTTCTCTGAGCAGCTTGGACCCTATTCCTCTGGGACACCCCTATACTTATCCAGTTTTATTCGGTGCCCAAGGAGACCTCTACCTACCAAAGGCATGATGATCATCCTAAGGTGAGGGAATAGTAGGTGTCTGTAAGGGTGAAACATAGTATGGGTATGCAGTATCAAGGACCATTCTCAATGAGGTCCCTGGGTGACCTCATATCCAGTGAGGCCCACATGCCCAGGGCCATGATTCCTTTAGAGGGCAGGAATCTAGGAATGACCTTGTCTCTTTGCTCCTCCCTCCCGCTGTTCAAATCAGTCCACTCATCTCAGCCTCAGCTTGCCCCAGCCCAGACCATTGGTTCTTCTTACCAGGATCTATGTTGGATGCCTGCTTTCCTCCTCCTCTGCAGCCCAGATCTAAGTCCTTGCTTTCTATGGAACATTCCACCACTTCCCCATAGCAGTTGGCTATGATTTCTCCTGAGGCAGAGCCAAATCTTCTTCTCTGCCCACTCACCCCTATGCTGGGCCCACAGAGGGGAGAACTGGTGAATGCAGAGAGGCCAATAATCATGCCCTCCTCATTTTGTGGATGACTAGAAGGCAGAGCTTAGAAATCCATGGAACTCCAGTGTCCAGCTTGCTTCTCTTTCCCCCAGCTTCCCAGGGCTGCTCACAATATCTAGAGAGATAGATTTCTCTTGAAAAGGTAGGAACTTGCTTGGGGAAATTCAGTTCTGAGGGTTTGGAGATTGCTTTTTGCAGAGTTTGGGTTGGGGGAGGAGAGAGGCATGGAACTGAGCAGTTACCCCTTTCCCTTCAAAATAAAAAGTATCAAGCAAAATAAACACACCTTTGTGGTCTGAGCTGGGAGGGCTACAACTGGGAAGGGTTAAGGGGAAGGAATAAGCCTGAGTAGAACCTGATTTTTCTCTCTCTTCATCTGTGAAAAGGAAAGGTTGCCTCTCACACCCACACAATAGTCTGGCCCTATACTTTACAGAGACAAAGACAAACAAAATAATCTAGACCTGAAGAAACCAATACTTCATTAATCCAACATATATTTATTGAGTACCTACTTTATGCCAGAAACTGCTGGAAACAGGTGTAAATAAAACAAAGTCCTTGTTATAATACATAATTCTAGTGGAGGAAATATATATTGTGTCTGATGGTGATAGATACCATGGAGAAGGGAATAGAAACTGGAAAGTGTATTGGTTATCTATTGCTGTGTAACAAATTACCACTAAACTTAGAAGCTTAAAACAAACATTATTTTCTCACAATTTCATGGGTTGGAGATTCACAAGTGGCTTAGCTAGGTGGTTCTGACTCATTCATTGTCTTTTATGAGACTATAGTAAAAATGTTGGCTAGGGCTGCATCTGAAGCCTTGACTGGAGCTGGAAAATTCACTTTCAAGCTATTGATAGGAGGCCTGTTTGTCCCCCACATGGACCTCTATACAGGATTGCTTGTGTATCCTCTTGAAAAGGCAGGTGATTTCTCTCAGAGTGATCCAAAAGAGATTAAAGAAGCTGCAATGCTTTTTATGGCCCAGTTCTAAAAGTCACACACTGTCACATACATTGTTAAAGTACATAAGTAAGTCTAGTCCATACTCAAAGAGAAGGAAATTAGACTTCACCTTTTGAAAGGAAGAATACCAAAACTTTTTGCAGAGTGAGCTGGAGTGCAGCTCAGTGGTAGAGCATTTGCTTAACATTCACAAGGATCTGGGTAACATCCCCAGCACTCACAGAAAAAGAAATTTGTGGAGGCATTTTAAAAACCATCACAGAATGGAACGCATTATGTAAGTGTTAAGTGAAGGACTCTTTGAGCAGGAATTAAAAAAGGGAAGGACAATAGCTATAAAGATATATAGGGGGTACTGTGGCTGTGGCTCAGTGGTAAAGTGTTTGCCTTGCATGTGTGAGGCACTAGGTTCAAGCTTCAGCACCAGGCAAAAATAAAGATAC